GACTCCTCCCGCGGCCTCCTTAGGACGTCACAGGCTGGATGGGGAGCAGGCTGCCGAACTTAAAGTGCTGGATCACAGGAAACTTCTCCAGGCACTGCAGAAGGGGAGATAAAGAGAGGTGAATTTAGGAGACAATTCCACCTTACACACACAGCCAGAGCTACATCCTGCCTCCAGGGTCAGGAGCAGCGAGCTTGGGGCCGCTCGTCTCAGCTGCAGGCAGAGGGATCAGTCCCGTGTCTCCCCCCACATCCCTGTCAGGCTCCTCAGCCCAGTAACACTTCATAACCCCAGCCCCTTCCCTTCAGACAGAGCCTTTTGCTTGCTGAAATTCAGGCCTGGAGCATGAGCAGAAAAGGCATGTTTAGATCAGCAGCTTTCTCTCTCACTTTCTCTCTCATTGCTCAAGCTGATCTCTTTGAAGAGCTTCACCCTATGCAAACCCTTTGAGAACTGCAGAAACTCCATGGGGAAGAGACTCTCCCTCCCCAGGATGGTGCCCACGCTCCAGGGTCAAGGCACCATCCCCCCCCCCCCAGCCACAAGGCACTGCCCAAACTTCATTCTGGATTCTCAGGTCTTTGATAGACAAGCACCAGTGATTTTGTTGCCATAATTTAAGACGTGATCCTATTCCCAACAACCCCGTGCCCCTGAAATTCCCACCCCCCATTGCAGAGTAAGAGTAGAGGGAGCATGGGTCACAGATCAGTCATACACGTCCACTGTGAGGCAGCTTAGATCAGAGTTGCTTCACCCCGCTACGACCGGGCTCTGTGCAGGGAGGGCACAGCTCTCTCTGCTCACTGTCAGGAAGGCCAGTGACCGTGGTCAATAACCACGACAAAATTCACCAGCACTTGCCTGGCACAGCCACTCAGAGCTCTGCTTTTTGAGTCACTGCAGACTCAGACTGCCCAAAACTCAAGAGAGCAGAGAGCAGACTCACCTCCAGACACACAAACCTCAGCAGTCCCCGTACACCAACCCAGCAGCCACGTCTACACGAACCTCTCCCACATTAGCTGTGAGTGGTTGTGCTAAACAAGGGCTGTAGATCACCTCACTGTGCTGCAATGGGGACTCATCTACCATGGTGCCTGGGGGTATGGCTAGTGAGATGGTGGCCACCTCCTCGTTGCAGGCAGAGGAACAAGTTCTTCTGTCCCTAGACAGCATGATATGAAGAGGAGAAATCTCAAGTGCCCTCTGTCTTGAGAGGAGAGTCTTTCCCCTCTACCCCGCTGAGGTACAGATAGGCTGATGGGAGTCCTGTTCTACAGGAGATGTCAAGTACATACAACCAAAGCACAGGAGCTACCAACTAACAGGAGCCCATCTAGTCCCAGCAATTCCTTGGCACAAAAAGCATCTGGTCAGAGCCAAGGTGGGTGGGATGCTGCACTAGGCAGATACCCAGCTCCACACAAGCTGCAGACCCAGCAGCAGGGGGGTGTCAGGGTCACACTAGTTTCTGCCTGTAACCAGCAGCCTCCCAGGCAGATCTTGGGGACAAGATGATGGTTGGTTCCTCCAGGCACTTCTTTCAAAGCACATTTCTTTCCCGCCAAAGGGAGGCAAGAGCCATGTCATAGTCACAACTCTCCTTTCCTTAGGAAGGAGCCTTGTGCCCTCCATGGGGCCGAGCTGAACCCACTGCAGCAGGGAAGATCCCAGCTCTGGGGATGGGGAAGAAGCAGTGTGCTGCAGTCAGCCCTTCACCCCAAGGCAGGGCACAGGCAGAGGCAGGCAAGCCTGCCCTCGTGCTGTTGTCACAGACAAGAAGGAAGATATGTGCTCAGAAGCCCAGGCCTATGGTAATCGCTTTGGAGCCAGATGTCAGACAACTGGTTTCTGC